CGTGTGTGTGTGCAAAGCTTATGCACATGCACAGAAGCGCCTGGGTGGGTGGATGGGTGGAGCCTCCCATCGTCACTACTACTGTTCGCCCGATCCGGGCCGAACTGGGAGCAACCGACCTCTGGTATGCTTGCTGCCTTGAATTGAACAAAATATACATAAAAAGGCAGGATAAAAACCTAATAATACTATCTTAAAGAATATATTTTTCAATTTAAGAACATGAGCCTTTGTAGTCACATAGAAGCATTTTAACTAATAATAAGAGAGCCGGACATATCTTCAGTATCTACGTATGTAGCTAACTAGCTATGCATTTCAGCAACTTGTTGGAAAGGCACATGATAGTTCCATTCCTGTTGAAGTCAGACAATAAACATTGTAAGGGACAATCATTCATTTGAAATAAATCTGGATAGCAACCATTTTACCCACAAACAGAATAATCTGTTCCAATTCTGCCTGTATTTAAATACAATTTTTAAAAAACCCTGTTTTATTTTATTTTTAAATGCCCCATGGTCTGTTATTTTAAACATATACAATATAGTCAGATGTTAAAATAGAAATATGTACCATGTGGAGGAGTAAAACAGCTCCATGAAATGTGATATTGAAGGTCCAGGAGTTAACATATACATCCGGATATATAAATGCATACAAAAGGGTATGGCTAGATGAGGCATTGTGGTTTTATGTTTCAGAGTGGAATGAACGATAGCATCAGGAAAGAAAGAGAGAAACAGTGAAAAAAAGCCTGTTCCCTTTTTAATAGGGATCAAGCAAAAGGTGTATGTATAATCATGTACCCATACCTCAAACTTGGCTTCTTGAAGCCCAAATGAAAGTGAACCTAATTATTTAGGTTAATTATTATTATACTGTATTTTATGTTGCATTTGAAAGGCACATGATTGTATATTTTACATAACATTTAAAGGGCACGTTAATTCAACCTTGCTGGATTTGTCTGCAAATACAATTGATCAGAATAGGGGAACATTTGGTTTTAATGAGAGGTTGTATTTATTCTAGTTGTATGCAAAATTAGTTGCATCAGATAATGAGGAACAGCCTGGTAGGAGTTAATGTTGGAATAAGATCTGGGCTCAAATATGCACCGGGCCATAAACTAATTAAACTACATAGTATTTTCCAACCAGAGTGCCAATGGAGGTTAAAATAGAGGGAGGAAGTCTACCTGCTTTATATTAACCTATTTGGAAGAAGTGGGGGAATAAATTTAATAATTTAAATATGTGATAGTTATTTTGCACCTTATATCTTTTGACTATCAGACTCTCACTCTTTCAAAAAAATATAGGTATTCTTTCAGATGTTAGTGAGTTACAGCTCCTACCATCTTTTACCATTAGGCATGCTGGAAAGCAGTTTATACTCAGCAACATTGGGGGAGGTTCAAATTCCTCAGGCCTAGTTTAAACCAACTTGATCTGTAGCATCAATTGGAAAGCTTTAGAAACAAATATAAGTCTGTTCATACATTGTTCTAAGCCAGTTCATGGAATTTACTTAATATGCTAAGACAAAAATATAGTTTAGAAATCAGAATGCCTGTATTATCATCCCACACTAAGACATTACAAGCCACAAGCACAATATACTAACCAAAACTGATATATCTTCATATATGTATGTAGTGTGGAAGAACATGCAAGTGACTGAAAAGAAACATTGCAAAAGATTGGTTTACATGTGGCCATACTGCTGACTGATCAAGGAACTGGTCTGACAACCTAAGTTCAAGCCATTTTCTCAGTTTTACTAACGTTTTCCTGTAAATCAGATAATAGAACTAAATCAGATCTCTGCGACCAAGAGATGCTGGAAGAATAAAAAATTGTAAGATCACACAGTATATGAATCATAAATGGAATATATGCTGCTTACGCATGTAAAAGTGAAAGAAATGTAAGAAAAACAAGGTCTAATGTAAGTTCTCAAGTGGGAACTTATTATAAATTCAGAAATAAGACTCAGAGTGAGATTTTTTTTTTTATTTCTTCTGAATCAATAGATCTCACCAGCTGGTCACAGCTACTGCCCTGTCAAGGAATGTATGAAGGCTATAAGAGATAGCTACAAACTTAACAGTTTATCTTGGAACTATTAAATGAGAGGCTACCTTAGCTGACCAATGCTTACCTCTTGAGTGAAAGGTGAAAACCTCAGATTCAGAACAAAAAAAATACCTTCAAACTTGCCAAATATATCTTGGGTACAGAGTTAAAGCTAGGAGAATACACGAGTTTTGGGAGATGAAAAATGTTAAAACTTTTATGCTGCTACTGAATAATCTTGTTTTTAAGCTTAGGAGTGCTGAAATACAGATGTTAACAATTTGTAACTGAGCTCCTGATCCCATTCAATAACACTGAAGGGGTGTTTCCCCCCAAACATCCCTAGCATACTTTCTTTTGCTTTAAGTTTATTAAGGAATGTATATCCTTGTGCAAATCTGAGTAACTTTGGAAAACTCACGGTGCAAGTTTGAAAAGCCAAGTAGCTTAACTGTAGTATACAATGAGGTTATCCGAGTCATATATGAAAACCACACACACACAAACACACACACACAGGAAAAAGAATATTGAGGTAAGAAATTTCAGATAGTTGAAGGGGCCCTCCCTGTGGAAAGTAGATCTGTTTATTTCAGATTGACTAGCATAACTGCAATGTAAGCATTTCATGTTTTAAAGTTTTCCCATCAGTCATCCAGTCAATACATCGTCTCTTCCAGGTGCAGAAAATGACTTGCTTTGAGGAGAGTAATATAAGAAATAGAGGTTAGGTTGGCTAACTATCATTTCCAGGTGGGAGCACTTGAAAGGAAAAAAAAGAACTTTTATTTATTTTTACATTTAGGTTCAGTGATGCTGGTTTGAATGTTATAACGATAATTAAACACAGTTATCAGATCTTGGTAGGACAAAGCTATAAAAATGTGGTTTTTCTTCCTGTGTGGTTCACATGGAGGCCACACAGGATGTCAAATCCTTTTTGTCCTCATTTTGTCATGATTACAAAACAGCAAGAAAAGTGTAGAGAAAACAAATCTACCACCCACAAAGTGGCAGTATATATAAAACAGGAATAAATCTTTTCATTTACCTCTGCAAAGCTGCAACATGGTTTGTTGAACATATTAAATATGATCCTGGCAATCGTTTTTTAGACTGTAATGTGCACATTGAGCCTGTGAGAATAGTTCATGATAGTAACTCCCCAAAATCTAACATACCATAATTCAGTTGACTGTTGGATAAGTATGTCATGTATAAACACAGCTCTTGTGTTTTGATTTCAAAGATCACGAACTTTTATCTACTAAAAATGTAGGTCAGAGTGTCAACTTTTTGGGAGTACAGAGTTCATTAGAGATAGAAAGGATGCTAAGAGGGAAAAGCTAGGAATTTTTTTCTTTTTCTTTTATTTATTGTGTGGAAGTCATTTTTTAAAGCTATATTAAATTATGTTGGAAAACTCTCAACCTGCATTTGCTAATGCAGGGAAGTTCTTTTGAATTGGGGAAAAAAGAATTTAGGAACTGTGTGTCCCCTTCCTCTTCACAACTATTATTTTTCTTGTCACCATTTCTGGATCTGGAAGGTCCAGTTCTCCTAAGATGAGGTCATCTCTCCTTAGATAGAATTAGATCAATTATTTTGGATGTCCTGAAAGGTAGCAAATTGGTCATTACTTATTAGAAGACTTACTTCCAAGATGGGAGGCTGGTGGAATTTTCTACCTTTTGACCTCAATTTTATTAACCAATTTATATACTATGTATCTCAAAGCAGCAATAATTATGTCATCCTCACTTTAGACAAAACTTCAATGGGAGTGAACATGCTTTGCTGTTTCAGCGGTTTTCCAAGCCATTTGGAAAATGGATACTAGCAGGCAGTCCTTAGGCAATACGTTGTAGGATTTGACGACAATAAGCTCATACCAAGCTGCATGTCAGAGATCTTATTACAATGTTGTATTTAGATTAGCAGAATTATTGAAGAAAAGGGAAAATATACCAAATTGCACCCTCAAAATATCAGCAGAGATAGCTTTTTGCTGCCTAACACCTACCCAAGTCTTCAGTTCTATCCCTAGATTCATTGTGATTTATAATACACAATGAACCTGAGCATGTTTATAATACATGCTCAGAGTATATAGAATGTGAATAGTCTTAATACATGGATTGATAGCACATATCAATGACTTTGTTATAATTCAGTTCACTAACAGAAATGTTTTAAGATACTTATACTTCTCAAAGATGTTGGGAGCACAAGCAGTGAGTGTTTAGATAAACATGGGTATGGGGAATTTATCTTATGTGGGTAGAGAAAAATTATACCACACCACTGTAGTAGCTCAATGCTTCTTCTAGAGTGAAACTACACCAAACATTTCAATTTTAGCATCCTTCCTCATGCGGTCATATGTAAAGACTTCCAACATCCCACATTTGACCATGCTGCTTGAAATTCTGCAATTCCTGCTCATCCAAAGTCCCAAGTAGGGGAAAGCTATTTTCAATACAAAAGCAAAACACCAATCAGTGGTCGTTTAAGAGTTATTTAGAACAAGCAGAAGGGTCCTTCTGGCTAGTGAACAGGAAAAGATGCTAAGCCACCAACTGGGACCACAATAAATTTGCTATCCCCTCTCTCGCCAACAACAGTGGAGGAGTGAAGCAATATTCAAAGAACTTAAAGGGGAAAAATGCTTTGTGAGTTTCATGTTAACACTTGGCATAACTATTGAGTAGAATAAGAAAAAATGTCTGCAAAAGACAACAATGAATTGACCCATAAACCAATGAATGCATTACATCTGTAACTTCGAAAGTATCTTTTTCTAAAAAGAGAGCCTGATTAAAAATAAAATAAAAATGAAGGCTCAAGCAATGGGTTTGAACTACCTCTACTTATGTAAATACATAGGATAGTCACAAAAATACAAGAGTCATAATATTTAAACAGTTTTATTTTTATTTCACAAAAAATGCAATTGTGTTCGCAATATATATGCCATTCTGTCAGTGTTGGTTATACACACCACCATTTTATTCAAAGTATAAGAAAATAGGCTTTCATTTGTTCTTTACATATTAAGGAAACCCACAGATTTGCATATAATGTGTACATCTATATAAAGACACAAACACACATCTTGTTTTCTAAAATACTCTTCCTCAAAGCAAATATTGTACAACTTGGAGTTATTCTTTTGATAAAAAACGTATGCTATGCTTTCTATATAGATATCAACAGAGAAGTCTAATCCCATTCAGTGGATGGGATTAGTGTCCAATAATATTTGATGTTCCAGAACTGCTTTGATGTTACCATTATTTAGGCCAGCTTCCTGTTATCAACAAAACTACAATCTCTGCACTGATCTGGTGCAAATTTACTCTTAAATCCATCCGTTTTAAGACCCTGTAAATTAAGAGTGTTCAGTAGCTTTCAAGTCATTCATTCCAACTTCCTCATACTCTTGCACATTTTATCAAGGTAACTCTTACATTTCAACAGTAATTTGCTACATGTGCCATGACTAACCTAAAAAAGATGTTCAACCATTGCTTTGATCAAAGCAGCAATGTCATGGGTAAAGATCTGCATTTTTGCTGCAAATTGCAGGTTTCAGTAACATCCTAGGAGGCTTAAGTTCTTAAATATCAAGACCTGAGAGTATGGCAAAACAACTTTTTAAATTGCCTAAATATCTTACTGTGGGATAAAACATTATAAACATAATGGATAAAATACCAGCAAGCATTTTTAAAAAGCTATTTGCATGTTTGGAGGACTATCAATTAGCATTTGAACTAGAAATTAAGTAGCATGTATCTAAACATTGGTATGGGGGCAACCATTAGTGAAATATGTACAAAAATGTATTCTTAAATGAAGCAATGTTTAGAAGTTCAGAGTGCAGTGAAAGATAACATCTTCCAGAAGGATTTTTAAAAGCCACTCTATCATTAGAGGGAGGATTGTTCTAACACGGAACAGGTGGAAGACAGTCATATAAATATATAAGGGTCAGCATCCGATATAACATGATGTTATTAAACTAAAATAAGGCCACATTCTTTCAAGTATTAGCCTCACAGTGCATGTCCAATTTCACCTGTATTGGAACAGGCCGTTTTTAAAAGCAGCAAGATCTATTACTTGAATTCCATCTCCCATAGCTGTATAAAGATACTAATATTACATTTACAGTTAAATAAGTCTTTGAGAGCATTCAAAAATAAAGCAATTTCATTATTTGAAGTAAAAAAAATTACTTTGGGGATGGACAATTTTAAATGGCTGGATTGCTTTGTGTACATTTTGACAGAATTACAGCCACAATATAGCTACAGATGTACAAAAAAACCTGCACTTTTAAGGCCCTTTTACACACCCATACAACAACCATCATGCAATATCTTTTCAAAAATATTATTTGGAACACACTCAACAATTCCAAAATCACAAGTTAAATGATAGATTACTATGCATAGAACTCCCCCCCCCCCAAATTCCATAGAGATCATAAAATGGCACAGGAGAAATTTGTCTCCCAATGTCAGAAGAAAACAAACTGTAATGCTCAAACTTGTCAATTTTGAATTCTAGGATGAATATAAATTTGGATTTTACGTCTGGCACCTATTTCAAACAGAACAAAAACTGATTCTAAATATTGGAGTAGGTTTATTTTATGCTGTATATGCTGAACTCTATGCATTCAGCCAAATATGTAGAGAGAAGAGCAAACATACCAATCCTATTCTTCTCAGTGTATGCCTTCCCCTTATCCAGTGCAACATTTGAGAAAGAGGCACACACATGTGTACAGTAGATCTGGACTATTTTTTGGACCAAGAGTTATATTTGGCCTTTTGGTAGCACACTTTTGTCCTCAAAAATATAACATGTGGAAACAGGATAAAACTATATTTTCCTTTATATTAAAAAAATAAATATAGCTACTATAGTGGCTCCCCTGTTATACATATCTAATAATTTTCTCCCCAAACAGATTTTTGAGAACCACAATGAAAACTTTGGGGGTAATTATGATGATATAATAGACAAGCCCAGTCTTTCAATGTGAAATAAAATAGGCAAAAAAGTTATCTGTGTTACACACATATTGGTGTGCATGTATATATAAACATATTTAAGATGCAAATAAGTTTGTAGATTTAAAAGATGTGCTTCAAATATAGTTATACATTTTAACCACAAAGCCAGATTATTGGGATAAGCCTTATTTAATTATCTCTTTAATAAAATGCTTCAATGCAAACATATAAAGAAACACACAATGCTCCATGTGCATTTTAAGTATACACTTAACACCAATGAGAATAAACTAGCCATTCATATACAACACCCTTGGCTATTTAAAGTCCTGTGGGACTCACTGCTATAAAGATCAAAACCATTTTGTTTTGTTTAGACATTCAAACTGACATGTTGGTAAGTTGAACAAAAAGGTTTTCCTTCACTGATAAAGTGCTAACATTATAGCTCTCAATAATCTTCAAAGTTATGGAGATTCTTAACAATGAAGGGCTTTTAAGAAAAACAGACTTTCATTATATATTTTGTACAATACTTATATTTTAAGGCACATGAACTATGTTTTCAAACAGATTGAAAACACAACCAATTGATCTCATTCATGTTTTCCACAATACCAATCTCATCTATTACAGAAAGTTTTGAACCTAACGGGGATTGGACATACAGTATAGAGTTTGTATAACTTTACACTGTATTTCTATAGTAAAGCAAGTGATTTGAGGAGTGGAAAATCAAAGCAAAATAACTGCCACTTCCAACAGGATACATGTAGAAGATGTTAAGATTTCAAAACAGAACAAAAGCTTTGATCAAGATTTAGAAAGGCATTTCTAAGCTAAGAAGCCATAAAGAAAATTGAGGACATTCAACTTACTTTAATTAGTTCTTGATGTAGTAAAAAATTCTCTACTCTATTAAAGTCACCACTAATTTTTTAACTAGATAAAAGCATTTCATTCTATTACACAAAATTCTTCTTCTGAATGGACTCAAGACAATTGTATTTAAAGTATAATATCTATCATTTATAGTTTCAATATACATACAAATACATATGAACAGAAAACCCAACTCTTCCAGATTATCCATTGTTGGAAATCAAACTTTGTTGGAAGCAAATAAGTGCTTTGATAAGGAACAAATCCCAAATCCATACATTATTATTTTTAAATATGTTTCTCCATTTGAGCACAATTAATCAAATGTAAATCAAAACCAAGCCACTATTATTTTTAAAAAGATAAATAATTGAAAGTATTTTCAAAGTATCAGTGCAGTGCTTTCATTTAAAATAAAATATTCTAATTCAGAACATGTGTGTGCTACATTTTCAAGTCCAGTTCACATTTCCAGTAGCAAACACAACTACATATAATTTTAAGTGTCAGATGATCTAACAAAAAAGCAGAGGGAGGGAGGGGGAAGGAGGAAGGAAGGAAATATATAAAAATGTAATTGGCAAACAAAACATGAGAGAAATATAGCAAACCTCTCATTCTCTAACAACCAGGTTAGATGTTCTTTACATTGTGAAGTCAATTCATTTTGGAGGCTATCAAGATGAGCTATTTTCAAACAAAATTAAGAGTTAAGCTATTCACTTGCAATGAAAACAGTATATTAGAGAATCAGAAGTACCAAAACTAGATATTTTTTTCTTTCTCTGTTTTCAATACACTTGAAATATAATTGAAAACAACTTATCTAATTTATGTTTTTACATTAAATTCATAACTAAGCAGAATTGGTTCAAATGATTCTCTTAATCTTTTTCTTATTGCTCCCAAAGTGCTTCACACATTGAATTTTGTATATTCTTCAGCAATGTCCTTCACTTGGAATTATTTGTAACACAAACATCATATCAGCTTTACCACACTTATATCCAATTTCTGGAATACCTATGAAGAATGAAAACACACTACCTAATACTGATTTATGAAACAATGGATTTTATGGCACAGAAATAATGAGATCTAAAATGTTCCAGAGTATGTAATCCTCCATGAAACATGAAGTAAAATCAGTAGTAAAATGTTGAAACAAATCTTCTGATTGTTTTTATAGTAGAATCTATATACATTTCAGGAAAAAGTGGGATTTCCCCCTCCCCTTCCAATCCTGAGAAAAAGGCATGTCTCAAAAGCTGTGTCAAATTGGATCCATACCTTTCCAAATTCATATTTGCTTGAAGAAAGAGCTTCTTATATTATCCTCTTTGATAGGAACAAATTTATAAACTAAGAGTACTCTATAGCTGTTTAAATGATTGAAGGCACTACCCATCTGGCGCCCTTTAAGATGTGTCAGAACTACAAATCCCAGAACTGAAAATCTCAACATGATAGTTACGTATTTTGGAATTTATAGTTCTAAAATATTTTAAAACCATCAAGTTGGGGAAGCTGGCCTAAATCAACACATTTCATTTTTTTAATCTGTTTTTATTTCTCTCAATTCTTGTTATAATGTAATATTTTATTGGGAGATTTTAGAATTATAATGGATAACAGAAAAATTGTTGACAATAATGTTTTAAATGCCAATTTCTTACTTTACCATAAAAGTTAGCACAGGGTAGAAGAATTTCACAAGTATGGGATAATTACTTATATGGTGGCATGCTTTATTTTCGGTGAAAGGTTTTAGAAGGAGGATGGGTGACACAAACAGCATGTATCATGACTTAACAAATAGTTACTTTGGTCAAAGCACAGGCATGATCTAGTTTCAGAAATAGCTATGTACAGAAAAATGGGAAACTTCAGGGCAGTATTGGAAGGAATTAAAACCAGGCAATTCCCAAACCAATTATTCTGAAATTGCTGAATCAGTGTATTACATACTTTTAGGAAGCTATATGAAATGGAGAAACAAAACTGAACTCTGAAAATTGTATAAAACATTCTCCAACCTATAATTTATAACTTTTTTGAAAACCTCTATGGTCAGGTCAGCCTAGCTCTCTTAACCTTTTACTTATGTTTACAAATGGTAATTTAACTTATTCAGTACACAGTACTAGTAACATCTAGCCATGTTGTAGACAAATTTAAAAAATCTGATATTTGCATAATTTCTAGAAAATACCTAGATAAATCAACACCAGAACTCCCCAAATCTTACTTTTTATTTCCCCTATTCACCTTATTGTGTTTTAGCCACTGCTTATAACGGTGATAAAAAATGCTTTACAACAGAGACATTATTTACAATTCAGGAAACTATGCACAGTGAGAAAGACCAAACTGAATTTTGCAAAGAAAAAGCAGGTCTTAGGAGTGTTTGTCTTGCTCTCTTGTTTTTTTCATTAAGTAAAACTGTATTCTATAAGTTGAAATATAATTCCATTTCCCTACAATGAAGAGGAACTGTACTAAAATTTTAAAAGTTATTGTATTATCCTTGCTTGATGTAAATATCTGGTCAAAACGAGCTTTTCCCTTATTAGCAATTATATCCAGTCCACAAATACTCCAAAGAGAGCGAATTCAGAAGAGATTAACCCTGAGCTAACTACAACCCTCTCTCACAGTGCAAAAAACAAAAATTGCATTGCTCATGTTTAACTTTTTTTTTTTTGCAAAAGCAAAAGATCAAGAGTTGCAGCATTCCTAGTGATTAATACAAGCTATAAGAGAATTGTGATTACTATAGCAATTTTGCAAGCAGTGCCAAGTTTTTTTCCATCCACTGACAATTCAGTTGAATTGTCTCAATAGCTTCTTGAACATACAGCAACTGAGCAGTTTCCTCTGACTTTGATTCAAAGAATGACTTAACCTAAAGAAAAATAACACATTAAAAAAGAGAAAAAAGATATCAAGACAATGAAAAGAAATAATCCCTTAAATGTTTAAAATAACCCAACCAGCTGTTATCTAAATGTATCAGCAAATTGATGGGAAATGAAAATTTCATTACATATTTACTATTTGTGCTTTATAGTTCAGCCCTAATTACATTACAGAAATGTAATTTTGAAATCCAGACTATTTCACACAATGCAAGACATTAAATAATTATCTTAAATGAACAAACACAATGACTCCCTATTAGAAACAATTTCTCTAATTTCAGAAAAGATCTTTCACATTATCATGTCCCCAAAATCTTTATGAAAATTTCTCGCCTTCCATAAGAACTTGAAAGCCTGGTTCTGCCATTTGGCCTGGAATCCCAATGAGGGAGTGGCATCTTGGAGGTGGTTAATAGGTTAGAAAGAGTTCATCTCCTCCCCATGCACAATTTGTTTCCTTCTTCCCATTTTGGTTTATTGAATTTTAACTTAAAATGCATAGTTGCTATTTAGCGTTTTAAGGTTTTATATTGTATTTTAATTATATGGCTGTAAGCCACCTATAATCAATCACCTTCACGAGATGGGAAGTATAGAATATACTTCAGGGCTGTCAAACTCCTGGCCTGCGGAATGGATGTATCATGCGCTGGCCATGCCCATGCCCGGTTTAGTGAAGGGGGGGAAAGTCCCGATATGTCACATGACGACGTGAGTTTGACACCCGTGATAGATGGATGGATGGATGGACAGACAGATCTTGTAGAAAAAGGACTAGCACAGTCAGGAGGAGGAGTGAAAAGAGGGATCACATAAAATGACCGCGAGGCCACCAAGGAACTAAGCCCAACTTTTCCTTCACTGTTGTTGACCCTTATCTAAATCTAACCAGTGCTGACCATTAGTTGATTTTTGTGCATAGGCTTTTGGCAATGAATCAGTTAAATTAAGCCTTCATGTGTGGACCTAATCTTTTGTCCTCACACAACTATTTGCATTGTGATGCAATGTTATAATTTAGAATCTTAATCTGCATCACATATTGCCTTTCTACAGTGACAGTATTATTCCACAATTCTTTCAGAACAATTTATCCAACTAACCTCTAGCAGATGTTCTAGTGTGGAGAACTGATGCGTTGTTGAAGTTACAATGCTTTGAATAGTGTATGATCCACGATGAAACCTGAAATTTAGAAACAATGGAACAAGAGTAATATATGTCATTAATCTATGTTAATCTGATACATGTTTCACTAGCAATAGCAATAGCAGTTAGACTTATATACCGCTTCATAGGGCTTTCAGCCCTCTCTAAGCGATTTACAGAGTCAGCATATTGCCNCTCAGAACTTAAAATATATTATCCACTTAGCTTTCATTAGTCTTTGCTAACTTCGTCTGTAAAAAGTACCATTGAAAAGATGTTTTATACATCATTGATCAATTTGGCCATTGAGCACATGCTAAGCCCATCCACCCACCTCCCACCTGTAATTAGCTTTGTTTTTACTTCAGACAATTAATCAATGGAAAAGTGTCAGTTGTTTATGATGACTGGACTGTGGCTTTTTATGACTGGACCATGTTAGAACCACTGAAATTTGCTCTTAGTACAGCATTTTCTAATTTTCAAAAAACAAATTGCATACCTGTCTTTTTATCCAGTAAGTATGTCTGAAAAGGGAGGGATGAGCTGTCATTTGTGATATAAGAAAGAGGAATCTGCCACAGATAACTGGGAAAAAGAAAAAGGTACACATATTCTTAAATCCCCAAATTCTATAAGGCTAATGAAACTATAGTAGAGAAGCAACTTCCCTAAGCTTCTGTGAGATCACTCAAAATTAATATACATTTATAAAACAATTGTGCAATGATAGAAATCAAACTCCAAATTGTTAAAATATCCAGAGTTCCTTTCTCTGTCCCAGTAGTTGAGCTTGCCTTTTCAGAGCTTAACTGTTCAGGCAACAAGGTGATTTCAGCAGTACAAACTAATATTACAGGTAGTCTTCAACTTTCAACAGTTCATTTAGTGACAATTTGACATTACAACAGCATTGAAAAAAGTGACTTATGATCATTTTTCAGACTTACAACCACTGCAGCATCCCTGGGGTCATGCGATCAAACTTTGGACGCTTGGCAGTTAACTCATATTTATGACAGTTAGAGTGTCCTGGGGTCATGTGAACTGAAGTCAAAGGGGAAGCTAGATTCACTTAGCAACTATGTTACTAACTTAACTGCAGTGAGAAAGGTGGTAGAATGGGACAAAATTCACTTAACACCTGTCTCGCTTAGCAACAGAACTTTTTGGCTTACTGGCGATCATAAGTAGAGGACTACCTGTATTCCTGTACTTTCTGCAAAACTATTATCCTCTCCAATTTAAATCTGTTCATACCAATCCAGAGCAATTTTTTTTTCTGCCAGAGATTGTCCTTTAAACAAAAAGGCTTCCAGGCAAAAACTATGTTATAATGACCTATTGACATTATAAGAGTGTGTGAGTTCAGGGTTTGTTTGTTTTTTTGCCTTGCCTCTTTTTAAACAATAAGAATGTAAAGCTTAGTGAAGACTTATTGGTGTCCCAAACAGTACACCATGGCGAAAAATAAGGGTGGGAAGTTATCCATCCTTGCTATGGCTAATTGCACGTTTGAGAATGATTCTGCGTATTAACAGCAATACAGTCACAGGCAGATTCTTGTCTAGCTCCTGATACTCTCTAGTTGGTGGAATTCAGAGTTTGGTATAGAGAGAATCAAGTAATTCAACCTCAGGTTACATACAAAATCACAACTGTGTTTTTGACACTTGTCAAATCAAATCAAATTTCCTTATCTAATATTTATGCATTATATTTGTTCTTATTAGAATCAAGCCTATAGGCATTCCCTACATGTAATTTATTCTTCTTCAAGTTAAAGTATTTTCTCAATATGGAAAGAAATCTAAATTGACAGAGACTCATGGGCAGATATTTTTTAAAAAAATGCAATTTATAAAAAAATAGTTTCTGCCATACAAATGTAAAGAATGGAATCCTGTCTTCGCAATATTTCTGCCTTATCAATTTAATGTGATATTTTACGTGACAAGTATTGTTGTTCCCTGTCTGATTCATTCACTTGATTAGGTTTGAATGTAGGGCAAAGAGCAGGCCTAGCTAGGTAATGGCTCTTACCTAATCTGACCTTCACCAATCTTAAAGCAGCTAAATAGAATTATATATACTTGGGTGGGGGACTACCAGGAAATCTCAGATTGTAGGCCATACGGATATTTTTTTAAATACAGAAAACAATTAACTAATTACCAAGAAATCTATATAGCAGAGTCCATGGAGTCACCAGGAGCTCAATTTAATTTACAAGTAACTACATTTAAGAAAGGTAACAAAGTTTTCATTAGATTTCCATCTAACTATTATTCCCTCATATATACATAATTTAATATTTATCCTATGTATCAGTCATTTTACCTTTTTAAAATCTAAAACATGGGCTGAAAAATTAAACTATGCAAATTAAAAAGGAAAAAAAACCTTGAAGATAAGATTTGATCTCCCAGTTCTGTATTATGCACAAATCTTTCCTGCTTCAAAAGGATTTTTTTCCCTTCCCTTTTGACGGTCACCAATGGAAATCCTTTCTGAATTGTCCAAGTGTTCATAATTGCTTTTACATCAGGAGTTCCATGTGTCACCTTAAGAAACAGATACACATGCAAAAAATGGTGGTGTCAACTTCATGTAATTAAATAAAGAGCTAAATAGTTGAAATATAATTCTCAATATAAGGTTGTTAATCATAGTTTAATATTACAAGTTCTACTTTGTAAGACTTTCTACTTATTTCTATACTGCTTTAGAAACACAATAAATAAAAGTTGTGCAGAAGTGCAAACAAACAGCACCTGTCTCCAACGCCTTAATGCAGTTTCATCTATTTGCAGGACATTGCTGCTACCATTTCAGTGGTCATACAGTCCTTGAGAAGATCATGGCTGGTTTAACATAATTACTAGTGTTTCTAACAATTTTTGTTTATTAGATTTTTATTCTGCCTTTATTACTTCATCGGTAACTCAAGGTGACAAACATATAATACTCCCTTCTCCTCCTATTTTCCCAATAACAACCCTGTGAGGTAGATTGGGCTGAGAGTGCGTAGCTGGCCCAAGATCACACATTTTTAGAAGTCAAAGCTGAAATGCTATCTAGCGTTCAGTAAATGCTACTTTAAGCATTCCTTCAACTCTCCAAGAAGATAGCTAGAAGCAATATAGCTCTAAATAGTAAAATAGCCGCAATACTCTCCATTTTCATAACAACAGATAATATATAAGAAGTATAGACACAGGGTGATGGAATGGTACAACCTTTAAGGAGTTTTTATAATTTCTGTTTTGAAAAGGGATATAATTTAGTTTTCTGAAATGGGATCTGCATGAATAATATGCCAACCAGCCTTCTCCAACTTGACACTCTACAAATTAGTTGCAATACACCAATTGCCATGTTGACCTCTGAGATCTGAAAGTCCAGAATAGTTCAGTTGAAAGAGGCTGTTTCAAATTACTAGTCATAACTAAACCACCACTCAGGAACAAAGAAAAAACCCTCAGAGGCCCATTTCTTCCTGATTAGTGGCTAGAATTAGAGCATTGCTTAAAGAAAAATCTTCTAATCCACAAAGCAAATTAACCAGATGGCAAATGATTTCTCAAAAGCTAGAAGCAGAAGCTGAGCAAACCTCCTGCAGAGGAAAAACAATCAAGGCAAGAGAGTTGAGATAGAACTTTCTTTTTCTTTTTTACAAAAGACAAACAGACACTGGCTCTGTAATGTCTGAATATAAAAACAACCACACAGGAGAAGGATGGTTTAAGAAAAGTTGTGAAAAGTAGCATCTATAGGATGGAAATACCATCCTTCTTGAATATAATAAGTTAAGCAAAGGTGGACCTAATTAATTAATTGTGTCTGGCAAGCATTTCTGCCAGAGTTCTGATTACCGCACCTTTTTCCCTCAAAAAAGAGGCTGAAAATTCTTATACACTGAATACAGCATTTTTTTTGCCTGCTGAAACCCTATCCCCTTCACCAAAATGGCTGTGCATAACCTTTAGGAGGCTTTCAGAGTGCTCCTGGGGGCTGGGAAGAGGAGAAATGAGCGAAAAACAGACCATTTTTTGCTCAATTTTGCCCCTCCAGCCTCCAGGATCACTCTATAAGCCTCCTAAAGGCTATGCATGCCCTTTGTTTGACAAAAAATGGGCNCCTCATTTTACCCACCTTGGAAGGATGGAAGGCTGAGTCAACCCTGAGCCGGTGAGATTTGAACAGCCGAACTGCAGAACTGCAGTCAGTTGAAGTAGCCTGCAGTGCTGCATTTAACCACTGCGCCACCTCGGCTCTTATACAGGTAGTCCTTCACAGGGATTAAAATTTCTATTGCTAAATAAAGCATTGTTAAATGAGTCATATCCAATTTTATCATTTTTTTGGCCACAGTTGCTAAGCAAATTACTGCAGTTGTTAAGTGGATCATGTAGTGGTTAAATGAATCCAGCTTCCTCATTGACTTTGCTTGTTGGAAGGCAGTTGGGAAGGTGACAAATGGTAGCCATATGACCTGGAATGCTATCATAAATGCTAAGTGTCAAGTGTCCAAATTTTGATCATGAAACTGGGGGGGGGGGATGCTGTAACAGTCGTAAGTGCAATGACCACTCATTAGTCCTTTTTTTCAGTGTTGTTGTAATTTTAAAAGGTTGCTAAATGAATGGTTGTAAATCAAGGGCTACCAATATTTATCTAAAACATTTCGTATAACACCTAACCAATTTTGAGGTTCGGGGAAATTCCAAAATCAGTTATGTTACATTTGTCGTCAGCCACACAAGAAAAACTTTTGTAAAATCATCAATAAGCTCAATATTTTTCACAATTCCAGAAAATGCAGAGTATCAAACATATGCTCTCCCATTCCTTTCACAGATAGCAGCAGCTGAATTACATTTTATCTGGAGTAGAGATGAATTTAAATCAATCTCATCCAATTTACTATTAAATTAAAATAAGGATGCTGGGTAGTCTTATTCATCTGGAAGGTACCAAATTGAGAAGACACAGTAAAGGCTCTTAACTGTCATGTTTGTCACAAGATACCATAAGATACCATATTGCCATGAACTAAATCAAAATGTCTTTAAACAACTCAGTGCTGAACTATCTCCCTCATTAGAGAGTGTTAATTAGAGACAGTGATAAGGGCACACTAGACAATGTAAGAAACCAATGTGAGTCCCAAGAGATATTTACTCATGTCAGAGGTTAGCAAGTATCTGTTTCATAGCTGACTCACGTAGGGGACAAGGAATTATTATAATGAGAATTCAAGCAAAGCATTACTTTTTGATAAGCTGATCCCAATTTTCTTTGACAAAATCCCATGCCAATAAATGTCCGGGCAAACTCTGACTGATAGTTTTTATGACAGTTGGAAGATCCTGGGATCTGATGACAACTCCTTGCAGGCTTGTTTGCATTAACCTATGAAATAAACAACAACAAAATTGCACGTTAGGCATGTATGTTCTCTTTTTCCAGAGAATTATATCATCTTAATTTCAGCACCGCCATAACTGTGGATAGTTGCTGAATGAACAAAATATTATTTGCTTACATATAAACATGCATATACACTATTGGACTATAATGATACGTACATGGATTCCATTTCACTGGCCACCATTTAAATGATTACATAAAAGGTATTTCATGAACATCCAAAACAAAATGTTTCAGATCACAAATCTCCAGTACCCTAATATATAGTAAAATAGAAGATGAATGAAAATGCATGCACATGCAAGCATAGCCCTAGCCCTTTTGCAAAACACAAAAACAGCTATACTGCTTTAACAATTTGAAAAGAATTGCTCCTTTTGGATGCTTCAAAAATGAAGGAATACACAACACTTTGTATTAATAAAGTCAAGATAAAGTGTGTGTGTGTTTGTTTGTGTGTGTGTCTTATAACATGAGCATGCTTGTAGGAGACAAAGTTCTCAATATACAGAGAATCAATGCAGTATAATATTTACTGTATAGACCACAGTAGTATAAAATATTCTTCAGCTCCTAGAGAAGATGGGAGCTATTTAAAATAGGTTTGTCTGAGCGGGATCGTCGGTGATCAGATCAAGTAACAGCAAGAACCTGAGTCTAGGAAATAGCTCACCAAATCCCATTGTATGGTTGAGAACCTCTTATGTTTGTTTATTTAAGCAAAACATACCCTTTTTATTTAGTTTCAGTAAAAGATTAGAAACTTGATTGATTGATTGACTTTATTAAATTTAGAGACCCTCCATCTCTCTCAGAGCCACTTTGATGATGCTAGTTATCTAAAACTGTGCAATTGCACGTCTGAATATTATAATTATAAGAAAGCATAGAAAGCATAATCTGTTTTATCAACTTTAAAGCAATTGAGTTTTATAATTAAGGGAAGAAACCATGTTCCATAGACACAGGTGTTCATAAGCCAAAACATCTGTTCATTTACCCAGATGTCAGTGCACTTATCTCATTAAATGTAAAAGATTTGAAAGATTACAAAAAGCATGCTAAATGTTCATGTACTTTCTTAACTTCTTTATGCAATGACAAAGAGAATCTATAGTAATCAAATTTAAATAAATTATACTAGTGATTACTGACCATAACTAGAAAACTGACTTTTATTTAAGATTTAAAACCTTCAATTTTAAAACTGTACGGCATATGGTAATAGGAGGAGAACTGTACCAGATGAGTTTTTTAACATCACTTGTGCTGGCCAATGATTCAAGAATTTTGAGTTTTTCTGGTTCAGAATCCACAAAGGAATACATTTTTAAAAGAAATTGCCAACCAGCTTCAGTTTTTGCTCCAGCTGTGAATATGATCTTCATAATATTTGTCTGCAAGCTGCAGAGACATAGAAAAAGAATAAGTATATATGTATTCTTAGAATCTCATATAAACATCCATGTTAAACATAAAAACAGTATAAATGCTAACTGCTCCCAGTTAAGCCCTTAGATATGATGAGTAATTTGTACTAGAACACAAATATTCCCCTTGTTGGTAATCTTTTTCATGTTCTCAGTCATTATTTCTTTGCCATTTGTTCTCAGTCTTTTGTTCTTGTTCTCAGACATTTAGGAATGAGGAATTAAAGTTAATTACTACTCAAAATTACGTTTTGCTATGCAAAATTGAAAAAAAAGGCAAAGACGCTAAACCTAATACTGGGCTGACGGTACACACTGTTGCTCACAAAATCTTCAAACATTGGCTTCTGGCCCAGATAGAACCAAGCAAGAACAACTGCAACTACCAGCAAAACTGAACTTCTGATTTCAGGCTTTACAGAGCCAAAGCTGTAAATCTCTCCCAACAATAATTCTCTGTTCAGGAACTGGTTATTCAGCAATTTCTCACAAACACAGCTCAGCTAGATTAGATTTTTAAAAAAAAAAAATCTAGGTTTATACTTCCTGTTTTTTCAAGTCATTGGCATTTAGACATTTTCTTAAGGGTCTGGAGACTGAGATGACATGAAAGGTCTAACAGGCCTGGGAATAGATGATTCCTGTCTCTCAGCGACAAGCTTTATATTTGGCACCATAAATGTCTTGAGAAATAGTAATTTCTGACAGACATTGAGCTGGACCCTGTTGTTGTTTTTTTTGTTCTTCCAAGTGCTGTGACAAGTCTGACAGAGAAGAGTTCAAAGGGTTAAAAGAACAATAGTGTAATACTCAAATCATTGTTACAGTGATCAAAAAAATTAATTAATATTAGGTGGATACCCGCCTGCTCCCATTCTTTGCTATGCTACTGAAATGCAAGTACAACTGAGAACTTCTACAGAACTTGTTTTTAGAAGAATGGCAACCTATTCTTGTTACAACTCTTTTTATATGTGTACATGCCTTTGAGTCAATGTTGATGCCTGGCAACTGCCTGGATTAGCCCTTGCAGTTTTGGGCAATTTTTAAAGAAATGATTTGCCACTGATTTCTTCCTAGGGCTGTGACAGCCCAGCTAGCTTCGGCCTAAGGTGAGACTACAAATCACAGACTCCTGGATTCTTGCCTGGAATCTTAACCACTACACCAAACTGCTTTCTTATGTTTTCTAAGCAGCAGTAAACTTCACTGGCTTTTCCCTTCTTCAATGTAAATTTTTTTTTGGGCGGGGGGGATATTCTTACCCTAAAGGCTTTCTATTTCATGTTGTGTTCTGAAATATACAAAAAATGTTTTAATATGGCTACTAGCATCTGTGATCCTAGAATGGTGTTAAAACCCATTAAACTCTTAGACCAGAGATGGGTAGCCTGTTGCCCACATGTAGCCCTCAGCTCTCCCACATATGAGACCAGCCACTGGATCTTAAAATCAGTGCCAAATTGGCCAATATTTGGAAGACTAAGAAAGGCAGAAAAAATATCCTTGCCCCTCTCACTGGTCACTACATTGCTAGGCTTTCTGTAGCCTACTAGAAAGTTAAGCAGACCTCGTTTTGCACCTGAAATCAAAAAGGCTGCCCGTTGCTCAACCCTTTTTTAGTGGTCTGTATTATCTTATATGACTATCCAATCAGCATTGTATTAATATAGCAGTAATGATACAATCCGCTCTGAAAGACAGTGGAATACAATCATTAAACTGACATCAGGGAAAGATTCCTAGTAAAGAAAGCACTCATAAAGTTTATAAACTTGGATGTAACTGGAAAGAAATGTTCTTCAGGATGAAAAGGAAGACTTTAAAATGTGAAGAGTCCTACCCATCACTACAAGTTCCAGAAAATGTTTTATACAGGGCGGGGCATAACCTTTTCCTAGGGGGTCACAGCAAGATCGACAGCAGTTTACAACTTCCGCGACACTTCATTTTAAAGCCCATAAAAAACTGAATTGAATGAGCTATTAAATGTTAAATTTGCTTTAAGAATGGCTGGAAAATTCGATTCGGAAGAACAAAGGATCATTGACAGAATAAAATGCATTGCCTTTCGAGAG